TTGGAGTCCAGCAAGTCGGAAGCCTTGTCCTGACTGTACCCCTGAACAGCCCATATGCGCAGTTGTACAGGATACAGACCGCATCTTCTTGCTGAATTTTTGAGATATATACAGGTATCCAAGTGTACCTCACATCCTCAGGTCTCTTCTACACACACTGGAGTATTATTTGTAAAACAGTCAACATAGTCAACAGATTGAGGGGTTGATCAAATAGGATGTGCAACCAAAACTTTAATCTAACAAACCCTGGAAGCAAAAAAGAATTGAAGAAGTAGTTAGTAAGGGTAAAGGTGATAGTTACAACCGCAATTAGTCAATTAGTCAAGGTCCACTCTGTCTTGAGTGTTTTAATTTAAGTGCTAAAGAGCAACATGAAGTCTGTTTATGTTACATGAACATCTTATAACTAAATGACAAGGACCCAGGGGTTCTGTCTTTTGTTTTTTTTAATTTCACTCAGTTTCCTCTACCCTGCTTGCCTGATGGTGAACTGTACAGACACAAAATCTTAGTTACTTTTCTGATTGCTGAGACAAAATACCCAACACCCACAGCTTAAGGGAGATTATAACTCACAGGTTATTTAACCTACAGGTTATTTAGCTTACAGTTCATGGAGGTTTCAGTCCATAACCGGCTGGCTTCAAGGCAAAGTGGCACAGCAGAGAGGCATCAAAAATAAGCAGTTGATGGTGGGCAGAAGGTAGCAAAGCAACAAGGGACAACCACAGCTCTTTCTATCCCTTATATCTTACCCAGGCTACTTAGGGCAGGTAACACTCACACCCCAAATCCTAGTGTCTGTGATCCTAGCACTGCACCATGAATCAATTCTAGTGTCACACACTTTAGATCCAACCATCTCTGAAAAAGCCCCTCCTATGACTGCATGAGGCTTTGGAGGGCACTAGATACAAACCATAACACAGAACAAGCCTAAAGTCCTGAGTCCAGAACACAAGCAAATATGGTAGGAATGAATAGGTCAGAAGCATTCTGTGAGTTCTTAATGAAACAGAAGTTTTGATCAGATAATTAACTTTATTACTTCTCTTCCAAGGCTCTGAGTAGAACCATTTTAAAAAGTGTGTGTGTGTGTGTGTTAATTTTGTGCTCATGAGTGTTCTGATGATTGGAAAGACTAAACCAGGTAAATTTTAAACATTCACAGGTCATATCAATGTGAGTTCATTTTTGACTATGTAAGGAGGGATACTAGGCACATATTTGTGTCATTTTTTTCCTTTTTTGCTCTGCCCTTCCAGAAATTAAGACACAAAACTTGAATCCATGCATTAGTGTATAGCCAAGACTGTGATAAAAAGTTCAATTAATTCTGAATGCCTGGCAATGGATACAATTGAATTATCCAGGTTTTAAGACAGATGACTTCTACAATTATAGCACAGTTTGATTACCAATAATCCATCCAAATTCCAAGGACAGCAATAAAAATTGGCAAAAGATATAAAATAACTACAAATACATTGGCTAAGTTTTAAAAATTATATTGAAAATAAAATATGACAAAAGCCATATAATTTCTATAAATGGCAATATTCTTGTTCAAGAGATGAGGTGTGTAGCTAATAAACTAGTTAGATCTCTAATATAAAATGGAAATGAAAATTTTAATCTGCTTTCTTAATTTTGTATCTGACAAATTAATTCCTCTTTTATATTCACTAAAAGATGATGTATAATAATATATCACATGTATTCCAGCTCCATCTTAAGAATGGGGTATCATTAATTTTTCAACTATCACTCTTTTTGGAGGTTCTGTCATTAAAAAGAATTTTTTTGTCCATTTCAAATTATTCAGAAATTAAGGGTGCCTTGGGATGATTGGGGGTTTTTTTGTTTTGTTTTGTTTCTTTTAAACAGAGTCTCAATCTGTAGTGCGGGCTGGACTGATATTCTTTATGCTGCCCATGGTGACCTCAAACTCACGATCCTCCTGCCTCAGTCTCCCAAGTGCAGGCATTACAGGCATGCACCTGGTGCCCAACTTGGGGTGATATTCTTAATAACAAGCATCAGGTTCACAATGATACCTATAAGGGTCCTAGAACCGGTGGGAAGTAGTAGAACCAGGTAAGAGTCCACCCTCTGACCCTATTCAAAGGTAATTTTATTTATGACACAGCGACTTTCCCTGCCCTCCTCCATTAGCAAAAGAAAACATAAGCAACATATTTTTTTTTTTCTGGTCAGCAACTTGAATCTGTTGCATTCCTAACTGTTGGAATACTTTTAGCCCTCATTAAGGCATAATACTTGTAGTTTTCCGTTTTCATTCACTTCAGGAAACAGCAGATAAAATGAACACTAACCTCAAAGAAAAAGGGAAAAATAGTAAGAAAGTCCCACTGGAAAGGGAGCCAAGTCCTGGGTCTGGGTTACGCTCACTGGTTGGGGGGCCCTTCTCTCCATCTCTTTTTGGACTCCTTAGCTCCCGTGCTGGCTGGGAAGTGGGAGAAAGTAAGGATTCTGTCCATGGGGTAAATACTGGAAGAATCTGTGGCATCAAGTATTAAAAAGGAAACAACCCTCAGTGTGGCGGCCGAGAAGAAGGCAAGGTGAGCCCCACTGTTCATCTTCTCTCTGCAAAGCTGAAGTCTCACTTCCCAAGGGTCTTTCTTTAAAAAATAAAATTATGAGGCACAAGGAGTACCAGCCAGATGCCACATTCCTTTAACCAATAAACCCGAGCTTGGTAAAGGGTCTCACTGCTGTTGTCTCGCATTTCTACCATGCCCCAGTGATGTCTCGGTCCACTTCACATGGGGCCCCATCACAGGGGAGGTCATCAGTGGCTAAAAGTGACCAAGCATTTTAGGAAATTAGCACTCCAGTTTCTCAAGTAGTGGACTGTGCTGTATTTGTATATCTTTGGGACCCACCTCACTGTGGTACAGTGTCCTCCAGTGTCACCTCCCAAATTGGTATGGGACAGAGAGGAGAAGCTCCCTGGTTTGACAAGGAGTTTGCCAGACTAATTGTAGAAATAAATGGCTGTAGTCACCCGGCTCTCATGCTGGAAGGTGGCTTACGAAACAGGGTGTTATGATTCCCAAACCCACATTCTGTAGAGGAAGTGGAACTTCTCCAGTAGGTAGGTGAGCTTCTCAGTTGTTTATTTCTGGGCTTTGGTTGCCAAGGGAAGTTTATTTCCTATGCCTCACTGGCCGCAGGTAAAGGAATCAAGGGTCCAGGTTAGAGAGAGGTATTTGATTTCAAGCACCTCTTGGTATTCCAGAAAGCCAGCAGATACCAGAGCTCTGAGACACTGCCTGAGCAGTTCCTTCAGGGGTGGAGGTTAAGCATTCTGGCTCCAGGTAGACAGGCCTCCCCAAGGGGAGGGAAGCACTGCCCTTCTATTCTTAGATCTACAGGGCCATCTGAGGATCCCAAGACTGGTTCCATCCAAACTAACTTGGGAGGAGCCCCTAGTTTGTTCTCAAACCCTTTCTGGGACCCTGAGACCAGCCCTCCCACTCACGGAGAGCCCTAGCTCATGAAGGAGTTTTGGAGCAGACTTTTCTCCTTCACACAAGTGAGGGTCTTAACTCCAGAGCCCAGGTCTTGGAGAAAGGTCTTCCTTCTCTTACAGACCCTCTTTGGAGCAAAGCCATGTGGCCTTTGGGTGTCGAGGTCTGAGGCTGGGGACAAGAAGGTCAGCTCTGTCTGTAGCCTTTGTTGTAAACAGGTATCTAGGCGCCCCCTTCGTGACAATGCCTGCGGTTAAACACAGGCACCTCACTCAAACAGGAAAGGTACATTTTTCACATTCTTTAGTCAGAGCTAAGGAGGATGCCAGGGAGGCAGCAGCTCGGATGGGGCATTTGTGGAATGTGAATGTTCTCCGTACTTTTTTCTCTGTAGGTACGAATGTTACCTTCTCCAGCTTCTTCATCTGCAGGTGTGATAATGGTTTACCTCCCAGAGCCTATGCCCACCCACCTAGTAACAGCCTGGTAAGGACCGGAGCATGTCATGGTGCTCCCAGGGCCAGGCTTTGGCCTGGGAACAGACCCAGTTTCAAATCTCAGACCACCCAATCACTTAATAAAAGTCAGAGTTCCGGTGGAAAAATTATAAGGAAACAAAAACAGAGAAGCCACTATCCAGAAAGTCGGGGAAAGTGAGAGGGTCTGATGCAGAGTGGACAGGTATGACAGGAAAGGGGGCAGGGTCGTGAGGGAGTGAAGTGTCTGTAGGAGCCTGGCTGTGAAGAGATGGGCAGAGGACAGTGATTTATTTAACAAGGGAGATTTTTAACCACTTTCCGTGCTGCAGAGGAGCGTCCAGAATTGGGGAGAAGAAGAAAAGAGGAATAGTGGAGAGAGCAAAGGACCAAGAGAGACTGGATCTGAAGGACCAGCAGCAGCCCTGGGCAGAGAAAAATCAGAGGAAAGAGCTGGAGTGTGAACTTGGCTGCAGAAGGGCCTGTAGACCTGAGAGCTGGAGCTGAGAGAGTTCAGGAAGGAGAAGCTGCCGTAGACTGAATGTTTGTGTTCCCTCAAATTCATATGTGTAAGCTTTGATTTCCAGTATGATGATATTTGGAGGTGAGTATTGGGAGGTAATTAGGTTTGATGAAGCCATAAGGCTGAAGCTCTCATAATGGAATTGGTGCCCTTAAAAGAATAAACCAGATCCTTCTCAATTCTGCCACATGAGGACATAGTGAGAAGGTAACTGCCTGCAAACCAGGAAGAGAGCCCTTACCAGGAACTGAATCTGTTGTCCTAGATCTGGGACTTCCTGGACTCCAGAGCTGTGAGAAATAAATGTCGTGTTTAATGCACCCCACTATGGTATTTTGTTATAGCAACCCCTGTTAAGATAGAAATTTGGTCGTCTGCTGTGACTGTGTTCATGTTTGGGAGAGACAGAGGTGGAGTGTGGAAGGTGTAGGACGGCAGTGGGAAGAAATGGGAGAGGAAAGATGCTGACCAGAGGTCTAGGAGAAAGCCATCGCATCAAAGACAGAAGACAGAAGTAGTTTAGAACTCAGACCACAAGCACGTACATTTCTTCGGCTTCCTTCAGGGGCCTTTACAAGGAAGAAAGACAGGAAATAGACTGATTTCCAGAGAAGGGTTTACAAGATTGATAAAAGGAAGGGGGAAAGCAGTTAAGGTTGGTAGGTAAAAGAGTGAGAGAAGATACACACACGTAGAGATACTTACATGTATACAAGTAAGTATAATTATTTGGAGATATCTACTTATATATGTGTGCATATGAGAGGTAGATTAGACAGATGAAAGACAGACAGACAGACAGACAGATAGATAGATAACAGAGGTAGAATAGATCTGAGTTGCTAAAATGGTTTGGGTTGAATTTTTTTTTTTTAGAAGGTGGTCGTCAAAGAAGGCTTCTGGAAGATTTATCTTTTTCTGGAAAGAAACAGATACTTACCACTTCTTAAGTGGTAAGTATACAACTTAGGAGGCAGATGATCAGATAGCAATTAGCAAATACAAGACTGTGTGCTATAGTTTCCTGCATGTGCCCGGGGCAATCACCATTAAAGGACAGCCACACTCTCTTGCAGAAATCCCAGTTCTTCTCTGAACAGGGTTCTGAGAATCACTCCCATGAACAGGATTTGGCCTATGTGATAGAAGCTGCTTGTAACTCTGGTGCTTATGAAGAAAAGTAGTAAGCCTAGGATGGGTTTCTAATAGCAGTGATAAAAGCATAGAAACATGGAGTCCACTGTAGGCAAAGAGAAAGAACATCTTACGGCTAGCCTTGGTTCATTGCTCCCCAGATCTCTGAGCAGAGCCAAGGGTGGTCCCAGGGACAACCTCAGAACTCAGAATTGCTCTTGTGAGTACTTACAAGGCCAGTTTCTTCTGAAGCTCCAGAGCTCACCTGGACTGTTTCGTCTGTCAAAGTCCCCTGGTAGAAATCCCAGGTTGGTTAGCCATGCCCGGCTTCCAGAAGTGGAGAAGCATGCCAACCACTGATCTCACAACTTGAGGATCTTCCACATATGGCTAGACGAGCGCTTCTGGCCCTGACCTAGTAGGAATTCCTCAAGGACGTAGTTAATTCCCTTTAGTCACTTTGGATCATATTGTCCTAAAAACTGGACCCTTAAAAAGGATACAAGGAAACAGAAGCAGCTTTGGGTGCATCTCTGAGAAATACCTTTCACTTTATCTAATTCCTTTTTCCTCTGGGTAGGCAGCTGCAGGAAGCCCTACTTCCTTCCTCTCTGCTGGAACCCCTTGGTTTTGGCCTTTGTTTTTGTTAGTCATTGCAAAACTGCTCCCTGATTGTGCAATATGGGCAGCCCAAAGACAGTGACAGAGGCTGATGAGTCCCATTAAGGCCAGTGGTGCTAACAGATCAAATATTCGTATAGAGAGCTAGCAATATTAATCACTGACTTGTTGCCACAACTTACCTCAGACAGTTATTAATATCAAAAAGAATAAGTCATCTCTAAGTCATCCTGGCCTCCAATTATTTAGGACATTTTGTTGTTACATAATGAAATGGGTTCAATGTGAAGTCCTTGGAGACTGTTTCTTAGCCTTTATGTCTTTGTTCATATCTTTTTTGCCTCAGACTCTTATCAGAGGAATCCAGAACGGAATGTAGGAGAAAACCTCTGTGAGTTCAGTAACCCAAAGGGATTAGTACTTAACTGAAGCATGGATCTATGAAACCAAAGGCTTATTAAGAGCTAACAAATGACAACGTAAAACTGAGGATGTGTGTGTGTGTGCATGAGTGCGTGTGTGTGTGATGTGTGACAACAGGGCAGAAGGAGACAGGGTGAGAGAGCAACTGGCCCTGTGTGGGAAGGTGGAGGTGTGACTGATACCTATGAGTCACATGTCTGGCAGATTTGAGGCCTTCAAATACACATCACGCAAGTTACCCAGCACCCTGGTATTTCCTCAGGTCTGACTTGAATTAGCCTCCAGCCTCCTGCACTTTTTTCTGCCCTAACTTAATCTGTAAAGTTCTCTTGAATAAGTGGCCAAGTCTTTTGAGGTACAGGGTCTTTGGGGATAGATAACAAAAGATAACAGGGTCTGTCATTTTAGACAACAGTGAGAATTTGGTAACATTTAAAAGCAAGTCAACATTCAAGATTGTGCCACAGTTCCAAAACTGCAGGCCACATTCCAAACAGGGTTTCAAAGGCTAATTATGAAGGTCCTGGTTCTGCTTCCTTCCTGTTTCCTCAGGGAATAGGCATCAATTGACCACCTGTTTCTGAATACCGAGGACACATGGATTAAGACAATCTCACCTCAGTAAGTATGCAGAGACTGCAACGTAAACATGCCTTGGACCGTAGAGGCCTCTGTGAACTACAATTACTAAAGAGCAGGCAAGGTGTACTAGCAGGAAATCTGTGAGACCCAGAGTAAGAAGAAAAGTGTTTCTGAGGATTTCAGCTATGAACTAGTCTAACAGCAAAGCAATGAATTGTTTCAGTTTTTAAAAGAGCTTCAATGGTTTTAATTACAGAAGTAGTAAATGTTTAGTATAGAGGATTAGAAAATAGAGGCTAGAAGAAAGGTTTAAACTCACTACCACCACCAGGAAATGACTGCTGGGGCCTTATCCCGCCTTTGGGCCCTGTGTTGTTCTGCCCCATCCCCTCCCTTTCTAGCACTCTGCTCTAATTTATTTCATACTTATAAAGTGTCCTTGAGCTGGGTGTGGAGGCATACACATGGAATCCTAGCACTCTTAGAGGCTGAGGCAGGAGGATGATAAATTCAAGCCTACCCTGGGCAACTTAGCAGCTTAACTAGACTCTGTCTCAAAATAAAAACTAAAAAGTGGTTGGACTTGAGGGATGCAGCTAAGTCCAAAGACGCTGGGTCCAATCCCCAGTACTGGGAAAAAGAAAAGATAAAGTATCTTCTTTAAATTTCACTTTATTTCTCAAAATACTTCTACTGCTAAAGCAAGTTTTAAAACTATTGTTAAATGCCTGTGCCAGGTAAATCTCCCAGAATCCTGCTTTCTTTCCATCACTTTTATTCTAATCAGCCTCAGTGGCAATGTCCTCAGCTGGGCCATGCAGTAACATCTTAGTTGGTTCGACTGCTATTACAAAATACCAGAAACTGGGTAGTTTATAAAAAAGAAACTTGTTTTTCACAGTTCTAGACAGAAGCTGGCAAGTCCACGATCAAGATAGACTTGGTGTCTGGAGGGGGCCTGTCTTCTTGCTATAACATCACAAGTTGTAAAAAGCAGGGGAGCTTCCTTGGGCCTCTTTTATGAAGACACTAATTCCATTCTCAAGGGTTCCATCCTCAAGACTTAATCACCATTCTAAAGGCCCCACCTCCTAATATATCATTTTGGGGGAAGGATTCAGCACAAGCATTCATTCCATGGCAAGTGCCACAGTTGATCTTTACACAATGATTTCCCACTACCACCTTACAGGGCTGTGCTGTGGAATGCACTGTGCATACTCTTACTGACATTTTGCTCACATCTTTCCAACTCTTCAGGCATCTCCATTTAAACTCAACCTGAGTTTGTCTAGTTTCATTGGCGTGTGAATCACAGGAATAGAAGCTTCCTGCATTGTACCTGAGTGATGCAGAACCTCTGACCCCTCCAAGTCACAGCCACACACTTCATCCTAGGGGAGGTGTGACATGTACTCACAGCACTCTGCAGACATATGTCTCCTGCCATGTTCTTCCTCTCCTGCTCCAGCTATCTCCCGCACCATGTTTATGTTTCCAGCGGAGGTGGGTATTTCTGCCCAGGTCGTCCATGAACATCCTGAGGTTCATTCTCCCCACGGCTGCACCCCTCAGGGTGATAGCATGGTAGGCGCTGGTGTCCTCAAAGTGCTAGGAACTTTAGGGAACAATACGCACCACTCTGCAGCTCAGATTCCTCTGGAAAGTAGCTCCTTTGTTATCTGTCAAATAGGAAACTGGCTCAAATCAGAGTCTCTCAATGGGCCAGAGGCTTTCCAGACCCCAGCTTTCTTTCCTGTTCTCCTATCCCTGACTCCCCACGGAGGACCATTGACAACTGACTTATGCAGGTGGACACCTGAGAGCTATCTGCCTGCTTATTTCATCAGATGTGCTTAAACATACTGTAATCCTGCCACTGGACACAATTCCGACTCAGATGAAGAATCCTGCTACCTACCCTTCAAGACTCTGAGACACCTTAAAGTCAGGCTAAATTCACAAGCCTCTGGAGCAGTCATGGTTGTACAATTAGTTTTGTAATTAATCATGCACTTCCTGTGACAACTCTTGTTCTTTTTGCAAATTGGTGTTAAATTTTTTTAATCATACTAAAAATATACATTTTAAAGGAACTTTTTATTCTGAGCGTAGTCAGCAAAACTATAGACTCAAGAAAGTCCCCTTTCCTGTCGCTCCTTAAGAACGGAGGAATAAGACCAATAGTGTTAAAGTATCAACATTTCATGTTTACGTCATCACTTATACAAGGACCGCAGTGTTCACAACCTCGTAACAGTGTCTGACATTCAATAGGCTCTCAAGTACCAGTTAACTTTTTAAATTTTATTTTAAGGATGTTGAAGGTTGTTATTTATACCATAATCAAAATGTCAGGGATGGGGAGGAGGGGCAAGAAAAATGTTAAATGGAACAGAAAAAAAAGTATACAAAACAAAAAATTCCAGAAAAAGTACTTCCATGACTTTAATGTCTCCCCCACATTTCATTTATTAGAAATTTAATACTCAAATTCCTATGCTAATGATGTGTAGAGATAGGACCCTTATGAATTGCATTAATCCATTCATTGGTTGATGGCTTATTGAGGGTTTGCTGTGCCTCAGTATATGTTCATGTTATAAAGCAACAAGAAAGCCCTCACCAGAAGCTAAGATGCTGGCACCATGCTCTAAATCTTCCAGAACCATGAAATGAGCCTCTTTGCTTTGTAAATTACCCAGTCTTGTGTGTTCTACTTTAGAAACAGAAAATGGACTACTACCTATGGAAGCAAGTTTACTTTACATTTTTGATGACAGAATAAAAGATCTTAAAATAATCCATTTTCAGGGGATTGGTTTGAATCCATATATTGAATATTAAATGCACTCATTTCAACAAATACTTATGAAGTACCTACTATGTATTAACCAGGCTTATAACAAGACTGACTACAGTGTTGCCCTCCAAAAATCCAGTTTGTTATAGAGACACAGAAATTAGAATAATTCAGATTTTAAGTATCATTCAAAAAGTGAATTAAGTGATTGAGCAGTCAGAGTGTGACTCCTTTGGATGTTAGGAGACCTTTTTGAAAAGATAATGGCTGAAAAAGATGGATGATCAGATAGCAACCACACCCAGAGTCAGGAGAAGAATGTCCCTATGAATTCCATTTACAAGGACAACAGTGGCGCCCTCTAGAGTTGTGCAATGCATTGGCTCATTGTTCCAGGCATGTATAAGTCCACTTACTTGAATAATTAATTTACTGTTAACTTGCACATCTATTGACATGCATTTAGTCCATCTGGATACAATGACAGTCAAGTTATCCATGTGGTAATTCAGACCAGTAAAGAAAATGAATCTTAGCAAATTGCAGGCTGGAGTCGATTAGGCAGTTTGTGACAATGTTTTCCACTTTTGAAGACATGGGAGACAAGCCTAGAAATTGACATACTTTAAGTAGGAAAAGCTTGAAATTATTTTTGGAACCAATCCACTGTCTATTACTGTAGTTCTAATGCCAGGAAAAGGAAATATGAGTCATAGCTGTCCAATCTTAAAGCTGGCTTTCATGGTGAGCTATCTTCCTTCCCTGGGAATGATCATACTCAGGATTTTGAAAATGGCTGTTATAATTACAGAGAGTACTATTAAAGACATGCCACTCAATTAACCATTTGACTCCATGGCATAGGAAGATCCCATAATGATAGGTTAATGGATTCCATGCTTAATAAAAGCAAAGGGGACCATTAGACTTCTAGTAAAATCAACAAAGTCACTCTCTGCTGGCCACAGGCTTCTTGTTAAACAGGCCTCAAAAGCAAATGCATGTAGATCTCTTAGGATTCCAAACTGGTTTAATGGCTTTCACTGAGGTGTTCAAAGGTAGCATTCCCATCAATTTACAGTTGAAGCAGTGGAAGCTTACACAGAAGTCATATGTTGACCTCAGGTCACTCTGGAATGGGGCACCCAGAACTTGAACCCACTT